AAAACGACCCTGCAGCAGATGGGCATGAGCTTATATCTGTGCACAGGTCTTCCACTGTTACAATGGTGAATTGGAAATCACAGGGGCCTTTTGGATCTCACAGCCTCTGCGTTTTAATCCATTAAAATCAGAGCTGCTTTGTAGGAGTCCAGAAAGCAAGGGTTGTGTTTTGGGTTGTTTCCATGGGGCAGGAGCCTAGCTTGCGTCTGTGTTAGGGTAAAGAAAGGGTCGTTTTGGTTCGGCCAGTTCAAGGCTCTGCCAACATCATTTTCCTTGTGTCTGCTGTTCGTGTAGTAGGCATGATCGGTACAGTGAACCCACTGAATTAAGTAGGATGTTGACTGGGGTCTTATTTTCCTGCTTGTGCAGGCGAGGGGATGCTGTCCCATACGGCAGATCTCCAAGTCTTCTGCCTGTTTAAGAAAACTCTGCAGGTCCAGCCGAGGACCTGGGGCACCTCTGGAGGATCTGCAGCGCTCTCACTCTTGTCTCGGTCTGGCAGGCGCTGTGGACTCAGAACAACACCGCGGTGGTTTACCCCTGCCACGCTGTTATAGTGACCCTGCAGATCCAGACCGGAGAGCAGAGGTTCTTCCTTGGACACACAGATAAGGTGAGCCCTACAGCAGCATTGCCCTTGTACCCCAGGTGTCCCCCTGGTGTCCCCCCTCAAGAGCCTCTAACCTGGTGCTTCCCGCAGGTGTCGGCACTGGCCTTCAACGGGACCAGCACCCTGCTGGCTTCCGCGCAGGCCGGTCCCCTGAGCGTGGTGCGCCTCTGGGACTTCCCGACGGGCAGCTGCCTCTCCGTGTTCAAAACCCACGTCCGCTCCCTCTTGTCCCTGAGGTGGGTTTCAGCCTGGGCGCAGGGCTGCGTTCAGGTGGGCCAAGGGTTGCAGCACAGCAGCTTTTCTGTGCTGTTCGTGCGTCACAAACCAGGGGTGAATTACAGCTCTCCTTCAGCTGCCTGTGTTTGTCACCAAGACCTGCTGGCAGCTGGCCCAGAACAGCCGACACGCTGCCAGCTCCCTCCTGAGCTTACCTCTCAGGTCTTGCTGTCTTCCCGTACCCTGAACTTGTCTCCTTTTATTCCCCGCTGAGATGCACTCAGGGTACAAGGAGCTGTGTTTCACCACATGGCCTCTTCTTGCAGCTTTTCCTACAGCGGGGCCGTCCTGTGCGGTGTCGGAAAGGACAGGCACGGCAAAACGGTGAGAGCTGAAACTTGGTTTCAGAGGTTTCCCTACCCTGCGAAAAAGCAATGTGAGGTGGCTGTTCTCCCAGATTATGTAGTTGTTATTGAGAAAACCGCTGCCCTGGGCTTTCCTAGACACGTTCTTCACTGGAGTCAACAGGAGATCCCTTGGTCATCACCTGCTTAGAAAATACTGACCCTCTACCTGATGCTCGCGAGTCTTTGCAGGCGCGTTCCTCAGCTGCAAGCGAACAAATCCTTTCGGAAGCAGCCTCTGAGACCTGCTCAGGTTGAGCTTTGGGGATGTTTCTGTCCCTGGCGTGGTCCCAGCTACGAGCCCAGGCGGGTGGTGAAGGCGGCTGGGTGATTCTGCGCTCACCCGGCAGGGATCGCCACAGGCTCAGTTGCTGCCTGCCTCCGCAGTCGTTCTGGCCCACCGGGCTGAGGGCAACGGGTGTTTGTGTGGCATTTTGAGCTGGAAGGCTTGCAAGCACGTAGTGAAGGAATGGGAATGGAAATGGGAGGTTCAGCACTGACTGGAGCTTCAAAACCCTTTTTTTCGTAGCATTTAGGGTAAGATGCGAGGTTTAATCTTTCGGTTCTGAGCATTGCAGGCAGTGCTGCTGGAAGGGATGCTGGGCACTGAAGCTGCCACCCACTGATGTAGCTAGGGGATGACGCAGATCCCACGTGTAGCAGTCAAAAATAAAATTGTTTCCTGGGACTGGGGGTTTTGCTTTATCAGTGGAACGGTTTTCATCCGCTGATCCCTTTTTGACGACCACCAGCCATCGGCTGTGCCATCGCTGGCTGCGCACTGCCTGCAGGAAAAACCAAACCCTGCTCCATTTTGTTCCCAGCACACAGCAATGGTCTGCGATTCGGGTGGGAGCTGGCGAGCTGAGACTGGGGAGGGGGCATTAATAGGGCGAAAGCAGGATGGGAGAACGGGGGGTGCTGGGGTGGGGGGAGCTGGCCAGAAGCACTTCTCTCAGGGTGGTGCTTCAGCCCATCCCAGGCTCTGAGGTGATCCTGGTCTGTTTTTAACACTGTTGTGAAACGCAGAGTATCAAATCACGTGCATTTCTTCACCCGTCTCCCTCTTTGCTTTGGGGAAAGGGTTTGACCCTCTTGCCCCTCGTGACGGGCACTGCGAGCACATGAACCGGCATCGGAGCAAAGCGCTGCGAGAGCCAGTGCAGCCGGACACTGGCTCGGCCCCAGCGTGGCTCCCCTATCTCAGCAGGCAGAGTTCCCACTCCTCTGGGGATTTTCTTTCCAAGTCTGAGCCCTGTTGCCAGGCAGCCCTGGGATTTAGACCCTATAATTATGGATGCCAGACAAGTTTATTGCCACGAAGCTTTGCAAAGCTCTTGGACTGTCCTAAACCCTCTGTGCGAGAGAGGTTTGGTTTTTTTCCCACTGCTTCAACTGTTATCGATGCTTTGTGCCCTGTTCCAGAGCAGGCTCCCATATGTGCAGCTGGTTAGCTGCTGTGATGAAAAGCTCTGTTGCTGCCAAGGTTTCCACGTTTGAACGGCTCTGCCGTCGTGTTTTCTTCCTTCAGATGGTGGTGGTGTGGAACGCTGCTCAGGTGAACCACGGCAGAGAGGTGGTTGTGCTCGCCAAAGCGCACACGGATGTGGACATCCAGGCCTTGAAGATTGCTTTTTTTGATGATACCAGGTAGCGTGCAAAGAAAGTAAACCAAAAGCATTGGTTCTGGCACGGCAGCGGGGGGAATTAGGGTGCTGCAGCCATCTGGTTGCCGTTCCTGGTCTCAATCCTTGCTGTCAGACGGTGGCCCTTGGGCCACTGACCTTTCCCCAGGGGCTTGGAGAATCCTGCCCCGGTCCTCACGTGGTCTCTCCCGGGACAGGATGGTGTCGTGTGGCCGGGACAACATCCGTCTGTGGCGAGTGCGGAGCGGAGCGTTGCGCTCATGTCCCGTCAATCTGGGCGAGTACCATTCCCTGGAGTTCACCGACCTGGCCTTCGAGGAGGGGCACATGGCCGACCGGGAGCCAGTGGACTGCACGCTGTAAGGGGCTGCTGGGCTCTGCTGTCACCTGTCCGCGGGGCAGCCTGCCAGGAAGGAGCTCTATGGCTCTCGGCTGCCTTTGGCATCCTCCTTCCCCCTCCTCTGCAGGAGCATGGCTTTGTGCTTGGGTTTTCCCTGCAAAATACAGGTGCTTCCTGGAGCTGGGAGAGCCTCTCCCCTCCTCGGCATGCTTCACATCCCCAAAGAGGTTCAGCTGCTTGCAGAATAGCCCAGGAAATGGGTCTTCCTCTTGCTGTACTGATATTTTACCCTATTTAGTGAATCTCTCCCCAACCTGAGGCTTGCGGTTAGCTTTCTGTCGGCAGCGGGATGTGTGGTGTGCATCCTCTTGCCTACAGACAGATACACACTTTTTTGTTGTTGTTTTATTTTAATCATCAAAGTCAGACCTTTGTTGCTACCACATGCTGCTCCATAAAGGCAGAGCTGTCGGCTCAGCTGGCCCTGCCTTCCCCCGGGCTGTGTCCTGTGGCAGAGAGGTTCCTGTCTGAAGTCTATGCGGAGCTTTTAGCTCTTGTGCTAATTAACGTTTCTAAGGGACAGGGAATAAAAGAGGAAGCTCTGACTTGGTTGTAGATGTGTAGGGCAGCACACGGAAAGGTGTCCTTGGACACCTTGTTGACCTGTTAGGTTACGGTGCCCCAGAATTGCTTTCCATCAGGCAAAACCAGCTTAACAGATAAAAACCAAGCTGGGTTTTTACTAAATCACACCAGCACAGCTCCTCTGAACCCTGGCATGCTGGAGCAGGGGTCCCTCTCCTTTACAGCTTTGTCTGCAGCAAGAGCGGCCACGTCTTGGAGGTGGACTACAAGAACGTCTGCATGAGGAGCGCGCGGCGGCTCCTGCCCGCGCACCGGTGGCAGGACGAGGCAGGCAGTGGCGCAGGTAGGAGGACCAGCAGGCAGGGGGGGGGGGGCTGGGAGCTCCTCGGCCATCGTCAGCAGCAGAAGTGAGCTCCAGCAAATCTCTGGTAAAATAAACCAGCTACTTACCTACTGCTAAGGATTATTTTGGGTTGATTAGGTCATTGCTAGCTATTTGGCTCTTAAGTGCTGCAAATAATCTTCCTTAGTACAGCAAAGCATCATTTTAAGGAAGAATTTTAGCATTTTAAATGCTGATTGCACTTTCAGAGAAACACTGCTTTTAGAAACATGAAACAAGGTCTTAATTTGCTGATGGGAGTCTTAATGTCGAGATGGAAAAATATCTAAGCAGGCCAACGAAAAAGATGAATTTGGGGATTTTTTATTTCTTTATTCAGCCTGTGCAAAGTGTTTGGGAAATCTTTATTGCTGTATACCAAGTAGTACAGCCTTCAGCTCTTCCATTAATTTTAACAGCGGTAAGAATTCACTTTCAAGTGTGATTGCTCTGATATCTTAAAACTTAGCGCGTAGTTCTCTGTGGCAAATTTTGCTAATTAATCTAGAGCCTGCCCCTTTGAGAGGTATGTCACTCCGGTTCTCGCTTAATGGGCAAGAAAATGGCCAAGAGGAGATGAAACGATGTCCTTGGGTGTCCTCCTGGTAGCAGGGCTGGCTCTCACCAGTGCTTTGACCAGTGGACTTTATAGCTGAATCAAAAAATCCCAGGTTCTGTAGATCCGTATTCTCCCTCCCTTCTCACTACACTGCAGAGAGGTTTTGAGACATGGAAATGAAAGGCTTCTGTGTCTTGGGCAGTTAATCTAGGACTTCCCTTTCTGCAAGGTCCTGTTCAAGGCAAAGTTTAACAAGTGGGAAGAATTTTCTGTGCCTGGGAGAGTTACACAGTGGTAAAGAGGAGCGCTGGAAGTGGACAGGGACTGAACATGTTTTGAGTCCTGAGGGCTGGCCGAGGCTCTGCAGCCTGTAGTGCTGGTCACCACGGGACTCCTGGCTTCAGCCGCTGGTGTGGGTGGGCCTTCGGACTCTGCTCTTGGATGGGGCAACCCTCAGTTTGAGTTTTCTTGTTTCAGCTGTACAAGGTAGTGTTGTCTTTTGGGTTTTCAGGCCCTGGGATTGCTATAAATAGTATCAGCATCTCCTCAACCTTCTGTGCCACGGGTTCAGAAGACGGCTACATGCGGCTGTGGCCACTGGACTTCTCAGCTGTGGTCTTAGAGGCAGGTGAGTAGAGCTGGGGGAGATGCTTCTGAGCCCCACATCTCCATCAGCCTGCTGCTGTGAAGCCAGAGCTCCACTGCCACATCTCCACTGCAGTTCTCATGAACAAGGGCATCTCTTGTGCCTGCTGTCTCTAGGGGTGACTGGCTTGGAAGTCTTCTACTTCAATAACAATTATTCATGTCCGTTCTTGTAACTCATAGGAGAAAGGCAGGATCTCTTGGGTGAGAGCAGGCACTCCATCTTGATTTCTGTGCCCTCATACCCATGGCTTATCTGCGTGTGAAAAATTAGGGGAGAAGGTGAGCAGTTCACTGTTTTTGAAACGATCCTCGTAACAGCAGAGCCGAGGGACTTCTAGAAAGGGCAGTTGTCACTCAACTCAAACCTGCAAGCATTCAGTCTCCAGGTCATGGGATGCTCGTTCCTGTGTGTGTTACTTTCCTCAGTGTGACTCTGGTAGCCGTGTTCCAGCTGCTGCTGCTCCTTTTCCAGGGAGGTTTGCTGACGCCTGTGTCTTTCCCCAGAGCACGAGGCTCCAGTGAGTTCTGTCTGCATCAGCCCGGACAGCCGCAAAGTCTTGTGCACGACAGCCACTGGGAATCTGGGCTACTTGGATATCCAGTCCCGGGACTATAACACCCTCATGCGCTCTCACGAGGACTCTGTTTTGGCCTTCTCGGTGGAGGGGATTTGGAAGCAGATGGCGACGGTGTCTCAGGACAATACCATCCGAGTCTGGGACCTTGTCTCCATGCAGCAGGTAGGTGAGACGAGAGTCAGTAGGTGGCTTGCATAAATGGTCTGCCTAGTCTCTGCTCAGTCTGGTTATCAAGGATCCACAGTTCAAGAGCCCTTAAATGTCCTCCCTGAAACATGGGGGGTACCATGGGCAAGAAATCCTTTGGAAGTGTGGAGTTCTGAGAGGTTTAGCTTAATGCATTATTTGGCCTTAGCTTCTGAAGGTACTGTTAAACAAAAATATTTTCTTTTCCTCCATCTTTTGAATATTGTTTTTTAACACAAAATGTAATACCCAAGGCCTTTAACTAAATGCCCAAAGTCCCGGGACTTCACTGGGCTTTAAATCCACCCAGGCAAGATCAGATTTCTGTTGTGGGACGTGCTCATGGTGGAGGTCTGAGGCTGTTTTATGGTTAGGGAGAACTTTATCCAGCTTTGTGCCCATGGTCTGTCTCTTCCCGCAGCTGTACGACTTCACCGCTGCAGAGGAAATGCCGTGTGCTGTGGCCTTTCACCCTACCCAGCAGATCCTGGCCTGTGGCTTCGACAGCGGCATGGTGCGGACCTTCAGCTTGGCCGCCTCCGATCTCCTGGTAGAGCACAAGTAAGCGCTTCAGGGGGAGCTGCACCAGAGCAGGTGTGGGTCTAACTGGGTGTCCTGGCAAGAGCCACAGCGATACGGAGGTGGGAAAAGTGCTTTTCTTGAGCTCGATAGTCCTCACGTCCCCGCTGAGTGGTTTTCAGGCAGAGATAGCCTGCTGTGCCAAGGCTCTGGGGGATAAAACCCCAACTTGTGAAGGCTGTGAGGGCTTTCTGTGGCTGCCTGGTGGACAGTTGGCCAACAGTAGGCCAGAGCTTGTCCTAGAGAGCAGCTGAACAGGGAGCCCTTGCGAGCCTTGGCGTGAAGAGGAGGATGTTCCAAAGGTAGAGGGAGCATGTCCCATCCAGGAGTGCTGCTCTCGCTGCTTGGTTTTCCAAAAGGTTGGGGTGTTGATTGCCCTGCTGCAGGCGTGAGCATCCCCTGCCTGTCCCTGATTATTTTGTTCTCCTGGGTTCTTCACCATGTGGCACTCAACGTTGCTACTGTTTTCTGGGGGTGGGTTGGTTGGTTGGGTTTTTTTCTTCTCCCCTTTCTCATGTTTTCTGCTTTCTTTCAGGCAACACCGCACTGCGATCACTGGACTGACCTTCTCTCCAGATGGCAACTGCATGTTCAGCTCCTGTTTGCAGGGAACTCTGGCTCTGTACAGCTGTATGGCAGAGAAAAGCCACATCCTGAGGGTCCTGGGTAAGGCTCTGGGGTTGTGGGTTGCCTTTTCTTTTTTTATTAGCACAGACATCATCGCACCAAAGCCAAACCAGCCTGCCTACTCAGAGAGAGAGTTTCTGATGAACCTTCCGAGCTGTGTCATTTGTGTTTATACTGTACACGTGAGCAAACCCTAGTGACTGCCAGCCCTTCCCCTATCTATCTGTCCTGGTTCAAACGCTCTCAGCTTGCTTGGTGTTTTCATTTTGTGAATGGGCTGGAAGCACAGAGACCTGCCCTTTCAGGTCTGGGGTCAGCAGTGCATTGCCTAGAAGCAACACAAACGTAGAGTCTTCCTACTTATTCGTGCCTAAGCCCTGACTCTTTCCATTCTGTGGATGTGCAGTTTAATTTCTTGAAACTGGATCGTTTCCCTGACCCTGCCCGCAGCAGAGCTGCGCAGAGAGCCGCGCTGGTGAGCGGGGAAGGTGGAGAGCTGCAGGCGGGGGAAGCAGTGCAGGGGCAAAGCGGTTTGGAAACATTAACGTCGCATTTCACAGAGGCTTTTGAAACGAGCTGTGGCAGCACAAGCTCAGGCAGGGAAAGGGAGCTCCGTTATGCACTATTGTACCAAGAGGAGGATCCTGCCCCAAGAAGTGTGCAGCTGAAGCAGGTGGAGAAGGAACAGGGGCTTGGAGAGATCAGGGAATTTGTCCAAAATCACCAAAGTTTGGTGTCAGTGTTGCAGCTGAAGCTGCACATGTTGACTTTGCTCTAAAACCGTGTTCACTGCCTGGCCGTGTTCCAGGGACAGAACAATGAGATTTCGGTAGCAGAATAAATATAGAGAATTGCTGTGATTTCTCTAATTTTTAGACCTTTGGGTCTGTCCGCCCACCGGGCTGACATCAGCATGGTGGGGTTCAGCACTGACTTCATTCTGCACAGGTTTCAGACACCCAGGCTGTAGCTGAGATCTCACATTCGTAGCTCCTTGTCACAGCTTCTTGCAATGTTAAAAAACAAACACTAAAATCAATTTTATTCCCTTGACTTTGTTCTGCTCTCTGTGAAAACACCACACGTGCAGTCAGGCAACAAGCCATGTATCTAGACCTTGTCTTTGAGGTCTTTCACTGCACACTTTGGGTGCTGCACATAAAATCTATAGCATCCTCTACAACAGAGGTTGCTTCTTTCTCGGGCCAGAACGTTAACCCAAGGCTGATTCAGAGGCAGGAGAAGCCTCAGCTACTGACGAGCAGCACCATCACAGTGAGCTGGCTGCAGTGTGGGCTTTGCCTCTCTCTTCACTCTGTCTCTATCTTGCTTTGGCCCTCAGGCAATGTGGTGGCCCGGGATGCTGGAAGCAGTCCAGATGCTTTGGTGGTCAGTGGGGACAGCCGTCTCTTGGCCTTCGTGGGTCCCTCCAAGTATGTTGTGACCGTGATGGAGGCCTGCTCTCTAGATGAGGTACCCAGCAGGCTCCCCTTGTGCCTGGGGGAGGGTGGGGAGGGGAGCATGTGCTGCAGGGTGCCGCGGGCTGGAGGGGAAACTCCCGTAGGCTGCATCAGACAAGGGACATCGTGGGCCTCGAGCACCAGCAGTAGTGGGGAGGGCCCTTCCCTGCACAGCAGGCGCTTGCTCAAGGTGCTTACAATGAGGTTGGGTTTTCTATTCTGTGAGACAGAAACAACAAAGTCAAGGTTTCTTCTTCTCTGGCTTCATTCCTCTCCAGAAAGATAATTTGGGGGAGTCTTGTGTAGACTGTCCGCTCCAGCTCTTTGTGAGCTGTTCTCCTGGGCAGTAAGGACATTGCCTGGACCCTGGGGGGCCTCATAGCCTCATGTTAGGAGAGCCACGAGAGCAATCCTGAGGCTTCTGCAGTACTTGCTCCAGGATGCTTGTTCAGTAGCTCCTTGTTTCACAGCTGCTGAGGGTGGACATCAGCGTCCTCGATTTGAACAGCACGGCCTTGGACTCTGCAATGAGAGTCTGCTTTTCTCCTGTGCCTCAAGGCCAGCTCCTGGTGTCCACTTCTTCCAATAAAATCCTTGTGCTGGATGCAAAAACGGGACGACTGGTGCGAGAGGTAGGACACTACAAAATCATGCACTGAGGTCTCGTGTCCTGTGGGGCTTGGGCGCTTCATGTCACTGTAGGAGGCTAAATGAGAGAAGAGCTCATCCTGGAGTTCGTAGGCTTCAAAGAAACAGGAGTGGCAAGCCTGTAGCTATCCTCAGGGTGAGCCTGAGCTTGGTCTTGTTTCCTGTGCTGTCACACTCCTCTCCTCTTGCTGAAACAGAAGTAAGGACATGGAACTGGCTCAGTTAATGCTGCTGGTGCTATTTCTTGTCCTCAGGTGTCCCACGTGCACAAGCTGTCATGTTCTTCCTTGGCACTGAGCAAGGATGGCAGGTACCTGCTCACTGCTGGCGACAAAGTGGTCAAAGTGTGGGACTATCAGATGCGCTTCGATATCAACTTCCAGGTACTGCCCACAAAGGGAGGGAAAGGGGTTGGTGGTGCATTTCTCAATCCCTGGAGAAGAGAGCAGCAAATGCCCTCTGCGTGACTTGGCCCAGTGTCCCCAGTCCCAGTTTGCCCCAGCAGCTGAGAAATGCAGTCCTGTTCCCATGGTGTAATAACACTGCGCACTGGGCTGGGGCTGCCAAAAACCAGCACCTAGTGAGACCCTCTGCGAAGGGCAGAGGTAGGTGTTCCCTCTGTGCTAGGGACGGAGCCACCCAGAGAAGAAAATGGCTCCCCCAGGGTTTCAGAGGTATTGAGAGCTAGGAAGACCTTGGGGGTTTTCAGCTCCTGCTTGCTTCTACATATCAGCGTGTTGAAGATCAGCCCGAGGTTGGTCAACCCCAGGTCTGAGTTGTGGTGCTGGCCTCTGAAAGGATCTAATGCTGAGGCGTGGAGACACTGGCTAGGCAGGGCAGAGAGTGGAGTAACCACCATCCTGGTGATGGAGAAGGTCAAGGCGTGCTCCCTCCCAGGTGTACATCGGCCACTCGGAGCCAGTGCGCCAGGTGGCCTTCACCCCAGACCAACGGCACGTCATCAGCGTTGGCGATGCCATCTTCCTGTGGGATTTCCTGGCTCTGCCTGCGGAGACGTCATCCCCAGCCAGGTCAGTGCACGGTGCTGGGCAGCACCTTGCCCTGCTTCCCGTCACCTCCCCTGCCCCGTCCCCTCTCAATGTAACGCTGGTCTCCTTGTCTCTCCAGGGCTCATTCCCCTGAATCCGCCCTGCTGCCAGGAGCAGGTGAGTTTGCCTCCTCCCATGCATTGTGCTTGCCAGCAGGTTGGCAGCTCTTCTACCGCTGCTCTTCACGGCAGAGGGTAGAGGTTTGAGGGGTTTTAGTTCCTTCCCTGAGGGAGTCAGATAGGGGGGGCTAACCAGCTAATTAGCCCCAAAGGACAGTCTCCAATTAACTAGCACCTCTCAGGGGGAGTCTGCCAAGGAGGAGATGTTCTGAGCAGAGCTGCTCCAGGTTTTCTGGTAGGTCTTTCAGCTGTTGCCTTCTGTCTTTCCCTGCCTCGATCTCTTTTGCCATCTTTTTTCCTGCCTTCACTGTCCCTCTCTCTGTCTGTCCCTTGCCTCCTCGAAGGACAGAGGAGAACTGGTTTCTGTGTAGGAGGAAGCTGGAGCAATGAGCTTGGAGGTACCACCATCAATCAACCCAAGGGGATGAGAGGATCTGAGGGATGATGGAAGTTACACAAACCCTTTTCTTCCCACAGAAGGGAGCTCTGAGAAGCTAAAGGATGTCTCTGAGACCCCTCGGCAGACAGCGCCTCTTCCGTTGTTGTCCTCACCACCATGTTTGGATGTCAGCTTTGTCCACCAAGCAGGATGTCAAAGTAAGAGGAACTGCCTGCAGGAAAGGGGAAAATGATTTTTGGTTTAGGAAAATCTCCTTGCCTAGTTCAGCAGCATCCTTGGAGCCATCCCTGCCCGTAATCCCCTTCCCACAGACTGACAGACCAGTCTGCGCTTTCCTTCCCCGAACTGGGACAAAGCCAGCCAAAAGTGCTGGGGTTCAGCACTGCTTTATCCTCTGCTCTCCTCCGTAGACTAAGCTGCTGGCACAGCTTCTCTGAGGGCTATGGTAAATGCCTTGCTGGACATACCCAGGAGGAAGTGCCTGCTTTGCCCTCCACCCTAACAGATGGGCTGTTACACAGAGCAGGGGAATGACACTGCCAGAATCAAAGGGTCGGTCACACGTGAAGCTGTCCTGAAGGACATGGATGGCTCTGTCCTCCCACTAGTTCTTCTCTTCAGGTATTTTCTCCGAGTCAGACAAAGAGGAGGAAGCGGGTCTGCCAGGCAGCAGCAGAACGGTGGCAAACGGAGACCAAGATGCCTCAGTCCTTGTGGTAGAGTCGGTCAGAAACGGGGAGCTGCTTGTTGTGAGGCCCAAAGTGAGGCAGGAGAGCTTGAGGTCTCCTGGAGAATCAGCAAACGGTAAATCAGGGGTACTCGCATCTTGTACAGAGCTTTGCTCCTTCGGGGCATGGTGTGTGCAGGCCTGCGTGGCAGCTTGGTCTATCCCTGAAAAATACAGAAAGGTCGTTATTAATGCGGTATGGATAGACCCGGAGGTGTGCTCTGAGTTGTGAGCCAAAGGGCAGCAACGTGTTCCTCAGGGCTGCTCCCTCGGGTGTGATTTACCACGGGGAGTCAGGATTGAGGGAAGCTCGTGCTGGTCCCCAAGACTGCTTGTTTTTCTGGCTCTTTC